AGCTTAAAATGATTTTTTTCCAAGATGTTCTAAGAGCCCAAATGTAGGCAATACACACACCTTACAGAAATCACTTGTTGGAAGACATAAAGGTCAAAATGAACTGCCAACTATAATTCACTGTTTGGGCATTATACCCCGCTACCTGCATACATACACTCAGCAAAAATAATCCACAAAGTTGGGGCTCCTGGGTGGCTCAGTCAGTTAGGCATCCGCCTTCAGCTCAGGTCATGATTCCAGGGTCCTGGGATCGAGCCCTGCATCCAGCTCCCTGCTCAGGGGGAAGCCTGCTTTTCCCTCTCCCTCTGCCCCCCACCCCCCCCATTTGTGTGCTCTCTCTCCCTCTCTCATATAAATAAATAAAATCTTTTAAAAAATAATAATAATAGTCCATGAAGTAGCAATCTAATGGAAGAGACCTGGACAGGGACAGTACTGCCAGAGGAAGGTTTATGCAATGGGGAAGTCTCCACAACATCAACTTCTCAAGCTCTTACCACTGGGTGAAATATTCAGGGACTCCACTTAGGGTTTATTTCAGCAAAATGCAATGAAGAAATGAACACAGCTTTCTCTCTCTCTTAACGGAATTCAAGAGTAGTGGTTAGAAACTTGGTTTCCAAGAAAAACACATTTATCTTAATTTCTGCAAGTCAAGGAAACCGAGCGGTCTAGAAGAGTTTTTTGGGCCTTGGGAGCCCCCAGCACATGCAGGGATGGGAGCTCCCCCTTGGCACTCCCCTGGGCCCCCCAGCCCTTGCCTTAGCTGGGTCCCAGTGGCCCTGTAGCTGCCCTGCTTTGGAGGAGCAAAGAAGCACTGGAAACGGTTTCTATGCCTGAACAGACAATAGGTACTGGGTTAAGTAGGAAATGAGACCACAGCCCGGGCCTGGGGAATGCAAAGGGTTTGATGTGAGAGAGCTCCCAGGGGGCCAGAGTGGGGTGGGAACGGCATGCCTGGATGTCAACAGACAGTGGCCTTTGGATTCATACACACGCTGTGTGTCCCACCCCCCGACCCAAGCTTGCCGATCACAGGCCTTGGAAAAGAAAACCCACAACAGAGGATGGGTGAACTAAAAGGCATGGAATTTCCAAACCACAGCTGTTACATCCTAATGAGCCTTATTCAAAGGCCCCAACCCTCAGTTGCTACTGACAGTCAGTCTTAACTGCCACCCCCCCCACCCCCTGCAACCCAGCAACCCTGACTTTAAAAGTCACATGACACCGGGGGCATCTGACCAACAAATGTGCTTGAATTTTGCCCTGACTTTTCTTTCTATACCACATGCCACAGCAGCAAACACAGTCATTTTCTACAATCCTCTGTTTGGAATTTCCCAAGGCTGAGCTACAAATAAGAATGTCATCAGAGGAGACAGGAGCCAACTGCTGTCAGGAACCCAGCGAAGGCCAGTCAGCCGGTCAGCAGACTAGGGTTTCAAAGGTCAGAAAGACGACACCTCAGTGCCCACTGCCCTCCCACCACCCAGCCTGAGTCCTGGCCACTCGATCATTCACTCCATCCTGCCAACACGTGGCAGGAGGTCAGAACACCAGCCATTTCTGGTCTGGCTTCATGCAGTGGAGATCCCCACTAAACACAGACATAATACAGCCCTTGTTTAGAACTGGAGGCGAGTGAGAAGCGTCTCTAGCATGAATATCATTATATGGCAAGGAATCACAGCCAAAGGGTAGGGGAGGTAACATGAAATGCCCAAGCCTGTAGGAGGACCTGCTCAGAACCGGGTCTCCCAGGACAAGCAGGACCCTGGAAAGGTATTCCAAGGGATACACTGACCAGAGCACTGTTCAGGGGCACTCTGCCCGAGGGATGGCAGGCCAGCCTGTATCACCCCATATCCTGATACCCCCAATCTGCAGAAAATTCCCCAGTAATCCTACAACCACACAACCAACAAAAGCTTTCACCAGCTCCTAGGGGAAATGATTTCTCCATTCAAAGCTCAGGTAGCTCCTATGTGCCAGGTAAAAGCAGGGTACTAGAGAAGAAAGATCAATGAAGGTCCTGCCCTCAAAGAGATTACAGTCTGGTTGGGTGGGAAGTAACTGACAAACTTCACGGCCAAGTGGATTTTTAGAGACCATCCCGTCCTTTCCCTTCCTTCCTGATGAAGGGATGGGGACTCGCCAAGGGCCATGAAAGCACTTAGTGACAATGACACGAGTCCCAGTGGCCAGCCCAGCCCCCTGCCCACTGGCCCAATGAGGCCCTGCTTCCAGAAACTCAGACCCGCCACATGCCTCTATGGGAACCCTTCTATACCTTCAATACCTAGAGAAGATCCAAAACGGCGGATTGATACTTGATTTTTTTTAAGTTTTGTGTTCATATGAGGTCCTCCCTAAGGAAGGGTGCCCCTTAGGTACTGGCTCATGGAGTACTTCCTTCCAGAGCCTACACTCTTTTTTGCGGGGGGGTTCCACATCAAACATCACCATCATGACAGGTTCCTTTCTCTGTGGACTCAGACCACTACCACCACCCCCATGTGAATCCCAACCCTGCCACTTCCTAGCAAGTGACCTTAGGCAAGTTACATCTCCCTTGCCCTGACCCACTTCTGAGCAGACCCAGGTCTGCACCTGCCTCAGCCTCTCTCAGCACCAGGCCCTGCCAGAGGCCTCTTTGCTTTCTGGTCTCTCCTCCTCTGGGTCCATGTCTCATAATATCAGAACTTCACCCTCTCTGAGCCTTCAGGCCATGCCCTCAGCTCTCTCCTCCTCCCACTTCCCAGGGGACACCCTCACCAGGCCTCCCGGGGTCCCCAACAGAGCTCAGGGCAGGCGCTTTCTAGGCTTTTCTAGATTCTTCCCACACTCCGGAGTTAGTGTTTCTGACTAACTCTTCAGTTATCTCCAACGAGAGGCATGTTCTGGAACATTCTGAAATCACTGTGTCTAGATTGCTTCACGTTTGCCCCCTCCGAAAGTTGCTTCCTTCACTGGCATCACCACTGTCCCTGTTCCCTCGACCCAAGCTTCATCATCAACCCATCCTTTAGAGTTTTCCTTGCTTGCTTGCTTTCCTGTCTATAAAGCTCTGCTTGATTACCAGTGCAAACCGTCCAACACCGAACTTTTCTTAACTGGAACACTAAACTGAATGGAGATCATCCAACAGGCATATCTCACAAACACTTCAATTTGGGTGTAAACAAAAGGGATGGGGGCAAAACAAATGGCCTTCTTGGAAGGGACCCTAAATTTTACTCTGGGCCCAGCAGTCGGCTGTGATAAGCACAGGGTCTCAGGTAAACCTTCTGAGGCAGGTCAAGTCCTTATCTTACCGATGAGGGAAATTCAAGGTGAAGGATGAGCGGAGTACAGAACTAGATCACGTGTGACTTCCCTTTTCTTCTCCAGGATGCTCCAAGCTAAAATGATAGCAGCAGATGGGCTCCTGGAACCTAAGAGGGGTCTTCAGCATCAGAGAAATTAAAAACACATACAAACTCTGAGAAAGAAAGAGAGAGAGAGAGAGAGAGAGAGAGAGAGTGTGTGTGTGTGTGTGTGTGTGTGTGTGTGTGGCGCCCTGGGGCATGTCTTGAATTACTGAGGGTAGCTCCAATATTGAGGAGGATCATCTAGATACAGAACACAACTCCCATGGGAATGTCACCTGCCCTTTCCCTACATGTTAGGGCTAAAGTGGTGACTGGGACACAGCCTTATCTGAAAGCTTCAGTCTTAGTTTAATGCTTCCTTGCGAAAGGAAAAAGGATTCTGATGTAGACATGATTTGCTCAAGCCCTCTGTGGAAATGGGCTATCAAAGCTCAGGCAATGGTTCAGCTACATAAAACTCCAACCCATTAGGCTCTAGCACATGTGGAAATGATTAATGTGGAACCGCTGTGTGTCCTCTGGTCCATCAGCAACCATGAAAGCCACAGCAAATGCTGAAAGAAATACAGAAAAATCCTTCAACCGGTTAGGCCAACTACACTTTTCCAGAAGATGAAGTTCCCATGACTTTTCCCATGAAACATAGAAAGACTTGGTAAGATAAGCACAGCTTGAAGGCCATAGATGGGAGAACTCTCTGACTCATGGTACCACTCAGAGGAGGAAGGGAAGGGGGAAGGTATGGATTGAGCAACTCTGCACCCACTAAGTGCTGAACGTAAAGGAAATAGCTCTGTACAGTAAGTCCCTAAGTGGGCAAAATCCTCTCCATCTTGCGGATGTGTTGGATGAGATCAGAAGAGCAACCCACTTGTGTTTCTTGACCCAGTTCTCAAGCAAACTGGCAGCAGCACTCCCTATCCACAACCATGGCGACCAACTTTCCAGAAAGCAGAGTGGGGGGGATATCAAAAATGAAACAGTATCACCGCCCTCTCTAAAAACTGAGAAAAACCATTTCTCAATCTCTAGACCAGTGAAAACTTTCACAAGGAATGAAAAATTCATACAATTGGCTAGTGGCCACCTTCTCTCTTTAACTCACTCGAAATCTGGGGAAAACAACTCCAAGTCACAGCTTTTAAACGCAGGCCATTAAAACCAGTCATTTGCCCCTGTTGGCTTCCAATAAAAAGCAGAGGAGCTTCAATAAGACTGATTTTTTTTTTCCTTACAAAAATGTGTGGCGGGAGAAAACGTCCAATCTGGGGTTGGATTGCACGTGGGGCAGGGCTGGTCAACTGTGGTCGCGCGCCTCGTGGCCGGCCTGGACATGTAGGCGACCAGAGGTCGAGAGGTACCGGCCGCGGGGCCCTTCCAGCCTCCGGTCCCCGCGGGAGGAAGAAGATGCAGTGGGTAAAGAGGCATTTTCTCAGCATCCAACCCCCGGACGCCAGCTCCCTTGCAAACACTCCTTTTGCGGAACTGGCGACCACCGCTTTGGGGATTTGTTCCACGTGTTTCAGAGTCAGAAGTGGCACCGTTTTGCCTGGTTCTCCGGAGACAGGACCGGGCAGGGCCCCTCCTGGGGCTCGCGGGAGGAGCGGGGGTTGGGGGGCAGGGATGGAGCGCGCCCTCAAAACCAGAGTCCCCCGCTGGCCTGCTGAGCTGGGGGCCGCGCGCCCGTCGCGCAAGATGCCCGGGGACAAAACAGAGGCCGGCAAGGGGGCGGCGGGGGGCAGAGGCGCCCGCTGTAACCCGAGCTGCTATATTGATTTCTCCTCCACCGTGTGGTTCCCATTTCACAGACAAGGCCACCAAGGCTATGGGAAGGCGGTGAGCTCGCCAAGCCCAGGTCATAGGTCTGGATGCCGGGTGGCCCCGGAGAGCCGTGGCCGTGACCGTGACCCTTCCAGTACTAACCCCTCCCGGGGGTGAGCGCCCGCAGCCGACGCCCCGGGCCTCCCGCCCTTCTCGTTCCCCGGCGGCGACAGGTGCGCGGCTTGTGGCGCCCTGGCGCGGACTCCGGGGAAAGTTTCCTGGCCGCGGCGCGCTGTGTACGGTCTGTTTTTGCAGCGCTGGGGCCCCGAGCTCTCAGGCCAGCCCAGCCATTGAAACCCGACACGCGGGGAGGGGCCATCGCGGCGGCCAGCCAGGGAGGTGAGCGGGCTCCGGGCCCGGCCGGCCGCGGCTCCACTTACCTGCGGCTCCGCGAGCGGCCTCAGGCTCCATGCTCGGCTGCGGCGAGGCTGCGTCCCTCCCCCCGGGCTGCCCCATTTACCCTCCCCTCCCCGCCCCCTCCCCTCCCCTCCCCTGCCCCTCCCCGGCCCGGGACTGGCCCCGCCCCCGCTCCGAGGCTGAGCCGCCCCGGGGCTGCCCCGGCTCCCGGCTCCCGGCTCCCGGCTTCCGGCTCCTTCTCCGGAGCTGGCCCCGCCCCCTGCCTGGGGCCTTCACCGCCAGCCAGCTACCTTGACTCCCCAGTTTGCAAAGCCAGTCCAACACCTCCGAGGAGTTTAATTCTTTTCAGGAGGAAACTATTTGCAGGGCACCCCATGGCCAGTGCCCCTCTCCTGAGCCCCTTCTCACTTCCTTCTGCATTTTCTATTTCCATGGACAAGAATCATTTGCATTATCCCTTTTGGAAAATTTACACAGTTTAAAAATAACTCAAAGACCACGAATGACACATAAGGCAGGACAGCCAATAACCTGTTCTGCCCATTTCAAATTTTTTCTGATGACTGTAATATGCCCATTTTTGCTGATAAGGAATACTTCCATTGATTAAATGTTCAGGCTTGTACTCAACTTGAAGGAGCATAATTCAATGACAGCCAGCTGTTTCTCCAGTATTTCTTCTTCTTGGCATGTTTCAAGGTGTTTTTTACAGGAGAGGTGTGGAGCAGGGGTTGTTTGAAAATGCCAATGGCCTTGGAACCCAAAGGTCTGTGGTCAGTCAACTAGTGCGTGCTCTCTGGTTGGCAGCTCTGAAATTGGCCCTTGAGGACAGCTGCCCAAGCTGCATCCTCAGTCCTTATGGACCCAAGGGTGGGGGGGAGGGGGAGGGGGTGTGGGGGGAGTTGGGGGGGTTGTTCTTGTTTTTTTAGGGCAGTCACATGGTGGCCAACAAAGAATAACCAGACCCCAAGGAAGAAGTAAGCCATTAAAGATGTTATCACCAGTCCTTACTCAAACCAAGACATCACAAGAATGATAAAGCCACAAGCTCCCTGGTCAGTTCTAAATGAACGACTGTATGGTGATTAACATAACATAATTAAATAAAATTTAAAAAAAAAAGACTGTTGGGGGAGGCCCGCACTGGCAACCCTGCCGGGACCCCTCTCACTCCAGAGAGCTTTTTCTGGATCCTTGCTCAATAAAACTCTGTCCCTCCACCACCCCCCACCCCCACTCTGACACCCAGGGCAGGGTAGTCTGGTTTGTTCCCCTGTCTCTGATGTCCTTATACCTCAGCATTTCTGGGATTTCTGTGAGCCTGATCCATTGCCCCCTACCAATCTCTCCTTAACTAGCCCTGCCTGTCCCTTACTCAGTACCTGAATACATCTTCCTTCAGAAAAAATATTAAGAATTTTAGACTGAAAATTACCCTGTTTCTCATTAAACACCTGTGCCCAAAGTTGGTATTTAGTCAAATACTCCCTCTTTTCCTTAATAGTTTCCAGGTTTTCTGTCTCACTTGGGTAGGCTACAACTATCCCAAAATTAGAAAATAAATTCTTTTACATTTGCTTCCAATATTTTTATTGTTTTGACCTATAGATCTGATCCCACACCATCAAATGGCCCATTCTTTGCCCCGTTACTATAAATTATTTCCTAAATCATGTATTAAATTCCCGTATACATTATGGCTCTTCTTTTATTGATCTTTTTTCCTGTTTCTACTACAATACCACACTATCTTAATGACCACAGCTTTATCATGTGTTTGGACATCCAGGAGGGCAAACCCTTCCTAATCAAATATTCAATGAGGTAGTTAAGGATATTGGGAGTTGGCAAAGATTGCTTCTTACCTTGAACATTAATTTGCATAGTATTCACATCTTTAAAGTTTTGAGTCTTCCAATCAAAGAACAGAAGCACACCCAAGTTTATTCAGGTCTTTTGGGGGGGGAGGGGGGCTAAAGTTCTAGAGTTCTTATAGAGTTCTTATGCTGTGTTTATTTCTACATATTTCTGATATTTGTTGGCCATTATGAATGGGCTTTTTCTTTTTTCTGGTTATACTTGCTAATTGGGTATTGCTGGTACACAAGAAAACTACGGGCTTGGATATATTCCAGTCTCATATCCTGCCATTCTTATGAGGTCTAATAATTTTTAAAGTCAATTATCATAGATTTTCTAAGTAGACCCTCAGATTGTCTATAAATAAGTTGTCAGGTGTCTAAACCTTCAGTGACTCCACACTCATTCTGACACTAAAATTGCCCTTAATCCTAACCACGAAGAGAAGAAATGTATTATTTATACATATACACTGGAAAATAGGGGCTCCACAAAATCCTAGATAATGTTTTCAGTATGGCTCTGTCTTATAACCAGGAGGTAGTCCCGTCCTCCCTCTGGCCTCATTTATCTACATGGGAATTTCTTCAGTGTTAAGAACACAACTATTCTGGGGTGGCTCAGTCAGTTAAGCATCTGCCTTCAGCTCAGGTCATGATCCTGGGGTCTTGGAATGGAGTTCCGCATCGGACTCCCTGCTTAGCAGGGCATCTACTTCTCCCTCTCCCTCTGCCCCTCCCCCTGCTCTCTCTCAAATAAGTAAAAATCTTTATAAAACACACACACACACACACACACACACACAACTGTTCTAGCCATTCCCAAGGTATTTGTGAAATTTGAAAAAAAAATCCGGCATTTAAACATAAGGGCTAGCAAGCTACTGGATTTTATTTCATAAGTAAACAAATTCCTCTTGTAGCAGTTGTTACTTTTTGGTCAAGGAGTTGTAGTCCTGAAAAAAGGAAAAGGAAAAAACCAGATCAAGGCTTAGCAAAAATGGAAGGAAAAAGTGTAAGACAGAAGAAAAATTTAGACAAACATTTCTCCTATAAAATGTAGGGGAAATAGTACCTTGTGATGTATCATAGCAAACTGCTAGAAATTTTAAAACACAAATTTTCAAGCTATTAATTCACAATTCTTTGGTGACGTTATACAAACTAGTATCTTTCTATACCAACTTCCCATGGGATATTGAACATAATCCCAACGTTGTAATGTGGTTTCTAACATACCAATTCTCTGATTGTTTTAAAACAGTTTCAAATGGTTGTTTCTGAATATTGTAAATGTCTGAAGTTTTCCTTTTTCTAAAGATTTTATTTATTTGTTTGAGAGAGAGCACAAATAGGGGGAGCGGCAGAGAGAGAGGGGGAAGCAGACTGTCCACAGAGCAGGGAGCCCAATGTGGGGCTCCATCCTAGGACCCCGGGATCATGACCCCAGCCAAAAGCAGACACTTAACCAACTGAGCCATCCAGGTGCCCCTAAAATTTTCCATTTTTAAATAAGTAAATGCCGTGAGCATTTGAAAGCTATTCTTTAGTAGGGAAGTTAAAAACATGCATATGTGGTGTCAGAAACCTGCAAAAAGGTGAAATACAGCTTTAGGGTCCTTCCTTACATGGGTGTTGGAGCCAAATCTCACCTAGGAATCCAGCAATAGCACGTCAACTGGCAAAAAAAAAATATCTATTGCTAACTGCTTCAGTGAACAATGCCATATTAGTAAAAACCATAAAAACTGTAATTTTGAGCACAAAACTGTTTGCCACATTCATTCCGAATGCTCTTCGAATTTAACAGTGTTAGGAATTAGTTGGACAGTTAAGTAGTTAGGTAGTGAGGGCCAGGGTCCCCAACAAGAAAATAAGGAGTCAGGACTGCTAAAATAAAATAGCACTGACATCCTGTTTTGCAGCTTAGACAGGACCACACTGACATTCTGCTTTGCAGCCTTTGCAGAAATGATTTCTGCAAAATGTCCTAAAATAAGACAGTAACCACAAAAGCATTTGTCAATATCAGGGGCAAGGGGCAGTTAAGTCCTAAGCCCCCAGATGTCAGGAAAAAAAAAAAAAAAACAGACCATCAGCACCTGGACATTAACCTGATAGGTAGACAGATACATGACCAAAGCCCTGATGGGCACGACACAGCACACCGTGATTGTGTAAGATAGTTCTGCAAAAGAGCTCATCACCCTAACTTAGAAGGGGGTGGGGGGGCGCAACCCATTCGGGTACCCCATCCCTCTCCGGGAGCTTTATACTCTTTCTCAATAAACTTTGCTTTGCTGTCCACCACTCTTCGTCTGGTCTACCTCTTCATTCTTCAAAGCGGCATGACTAAGAACCACGGGCAGTAAGCGGACACAAAATCCTGTAACAACACCGGGCCAACTCAACAAAGAAGGGAAAGCAGAAAAAAGGCGGGGTGGGGGGGGGTGATGGAATATGGAATATGGAATATTCTGAATTGCTCAATCCTCATTTTGATTTTAACCAAGTCTTGTTACTCATTTAACTACAAATGTGTTCCCGTATCCCATAAGGTCACTATCATCAACATATCCTGCTTCCTACGAAGAAACATTGTATTCTAGCGCAGGGTCTGGCAAATTGCAGCCGACGCCCCAAATTAGCCCTCCGCCCATTTTTTGTACAGCCTGTGAGCTAAAAATAGTTTTTACATTTGTAAATAGTTTAAGAAATCAAAAGAGGAGTAATGGTTTGTGACACGTGGGCATTATATGTACTCAAAATTCATACTTATTGGAACGCAGCCACGCCCCCTCGTTTGCATATTATCCACACTGCATTGGAAGCTACAAGGGCGGATTTGAACAGTTGCAACAGAGACCCTGTGGCCCACAATGGTTACTTGAAGCTCTTTACAGAGACTGTGTTTTGGCCCCTTTTGAACAGTTAAGCTGGAAAAGCAAAAGAATGGGGTTGAGGGAGTCCCAAAGGCTACCTTGGAAGAGTGACATTTTTCGAGATTCAGTCAATGCTTTGACAAGAGGCAGTTTGGGTGTGAGTTTTATATTTTATGATAGACATAAGTAGCTGAGCTGGAAGCAGAGATGTTTGACATAGAGGAGACGTATTACTATTATT